GACAGCAACTGGTTTTTATATTCACACGACGGAATACTATAGTGTGCTGAGAATGAACAATCCGCAACTCGCTGTTGTTAGGTGCTGTCGAGTTAGTTCGAACTCATAATGACTCTATGTACAAAAGAACGAAACACTGCCTAGTCCTGCGCCATCCTCACAATCGTTGCTATGCTTGAGCCCATTATTGCAGCCACTGTATCAATCCATCTCATTGAGGGTCTTCCTCTCTTTCACTGACCCTCTACTTTACCAAGCATGATGTCCTTCTCCAGAGACTGGTCCCTTCTGATAACATGTCCAAAAGTACATGAGATGAAGTCTCACCATCCTCACTTCTAAGGAGCATTCTGGCTGTACTTTTTCCAAGACAGACCTATTCATTCTTCTGGCAGTCCATGGTATATTCAATATTCATCAACAACACCCTAATAAAAAGGCATCAGTTCTTCTTTGGTCTTCCTTATTCATGCATACGAAGTGACTGAAAATACCATGGCTTGGGTCAGGTGCACCTTAGTCCTCAAACCGATATCTTTTCTTTCTAACACTTTAAAGAGGTCTTTTGCAGCATATTTGCCCAATGCAATACATTGTTTGATTTCATGACTACTGCTTCCATGGGTGTTGATTGTGGATCCAAGTAAAATGAAATCTTTGACAATGTCAATATTGTCTCTATTTAACATGATGTTGCTTATTGGTCCAGTTGTGAGGATTTTTGTTTTCTTTATGTTGAGGTGTAATTTATACTGAAGGCAGTAGTCTTTGATCTTCATTAGTAAGTGCTTCAAGTCCTCTTTGCTTTCAGCTTTTTTTTTTTATGTCATCTGCATATTGCAGGTTGTAAATGAGTCTTCCTCCAATCCTGATGTCATGTTCTTCTTCCTATAGTCCAGCTTCTCAGATTATTTGCTCAGCATACAGATTGAATAAGTATGGTGAAAGGATACAACCCTGATGCACACCTGATTTTAAACCATGCAGTATGCCCTTGCTCTGTTTGAACAACTGCCTCTTGGTCTATGTACAGGTTCCTCATGAGCACAGTTAAGGGTTCTGTAATTCCCATTCTTCACATTATCTACAATTTGTTATGATCCACACAGTTGAATGCCTTTGCATAGTCAATAAAACACAGGTAAACATCTTTCTGGTATTCTCTGCTTTCAACCTAGATCCATCTGACATCAGCAGTGATATCCGTCATTTCACGTCCTCTTCTGAATCCTGCTTGAATTTCTGGCAGTTCCCTGTTGATGTACTGCTGCAACCACTTTTGAATGATCTTCAGCAAAATTTTACTTTTGTGTGATATTGATGATATTGTTCAATAATTTCTGCATTCTTTTGGATCACGTTTCTTTGGAATGGGCACAAATATGGATCTCTTACATTTGGCTGGCCAGATAGCTATCTTCTAAATTTCTTGGCATAGATGAGTGAGCGCTCCCAGCACTGCATCCATTTGTTGAAACATCCCAATTGGTATTCTGTCAGTTCCTGGGGCCTTATTTTTTTACCTATGCCTTCAGTGCAGCTTGGACTTCTTCAATACCATCCATTCTTGATCATATGCTACCTCCTGAAATGGTTGAACATCGACCAAATCTTTTTGGTACAATAACTTGTGTATTCCTTCCATCTTCTTTTGATGCTTCCTGCGTTGTTCAGTATTTTGCCCATAGAATCCGTCAGTATTGCAACTTGAGGCTTGAATTTTTTCTTCAGTTCTTTCAGCTTGAGAAATGCTGAGCATGTTCTTCTCTTTTGCTTTTCTAATTCCAGGTCTTTGCACATTTCATTATAGTGCTGTACTTTGTATTCTCAAGCCTCTCTTTGAAATCTTCTGTTCAGCTCTTTTACTTCATCATTTCCTCTGTTCACTTTAGCTGCTTGACATTCAACGGCAAGTTTCAGAGTCTATTCTAACATCCATTTTGGTCTTTTCTTCCTTCCCTATCTTTTTAATGATCTTTTGCTTTCTTCATGTATGATGTCCTTGGTGTCTTTCCATAACTTGTCTGGTCTTCGGGCATTAGTGTTCAATACGTCAAATCTATTCTTGGGATGGTCTCTAAATTCCGGTGGGATGTACTCAAGGTTGTATTATGGCTCTTGTGGACTTGTTTTCTTCAGCTTCAGCGTCAGCTTGCATATGAGCAATTGATGGTCTGTTCTGCATTCGGCCCCTGGCCTTGTTCTGACTTATGGTATTTGGCTTCTCTGTCAAAGATGTAGTCAATTTGATTCCTCAGTCAATTTGATTCCTGGGTATTCCATCCGGCAAGTTCCGTATATAGTCACCGTTCATGTTGTTGAAAAAAGGTATTTGCAAGGAATAATGTGTTGGTCTTGCAAAATTCTATCACGCGATCTCTGGAGTTTCAATCACCAAGGCCATATTTTTCAACTACAGATCCTTCTTCTTTGTTTCCAACTTCGGCATTCTAATCACCAATAATTATTAATGCATCTTGATTGCATGTTTGATCACTTTACAACTACATGTAAGAATATGAATGAATCTCAATAACAATGTTGAGCAAAAGAAGCCAAACACTTCTTTTTGTATGATTTGGTTTATATAAAGTTCAAGAACAGGCAAAACTAACCCATGACGTTAGATATGAGGATAATAGTTACTTCTGGAAACCCTGGTGGCATAGTGGTTAAGAGTTTGGCTGCTAACCAAAAGGTAGGCAATTCAAATACACCAGGTGCTCCTTGGAAACCCTATGGGCGGAGTTCTACTCTGTCCTATAGGGTCGCTATGAGTCGGAATCGACTTGACGGCAACGGGTTTGGTTTTTATTTTGGTTACCTCTAGAACAGGGAGAGGGTAGTAAGCGGGAAGGGATGCCAGGAGGGTTGCTGAGGCCCTGGCAGTATTGGGTTTCTTTTTTTTTTTTTAAAGGTTATTGTGGTAAAATACGTATAACAAATCTTTGCCATTTTAACCATTTCTAAGTGTACGATTCAGTGACATTAATTATATTCACCATGTTGTGCAACATCACCACTAACCATTCCCAAAAGCTTAGTTTCTTGACCTGTGTATAGGTTGCACGGTGTGTTCACGGTGAAGATTTACGGAGCGGTCTGGTTGCTGCTCTGTTACTGACCAGTAGGGAGTCCAATCGTCCTGGCTTGCCCAACCTGTCCCCATTCTTAGCATGGAATGTCCCGTACCCTGGGAAACCACTCAGTCCCAGGCAAACTGGGATGGTCAGTCACCCTGCCAGGTCTGTGGGACATGGGCAGCCACGTAGGCTTCCTTGACCCTAATTGCCTCAATGCCGAATGTGATGAAATGCCTGCCATGGGCCCCTCACAAGCTTGTTCTGAGGATCAAACAAGCTCCCATGTGAGACTCCGTGGCTGCAGACGGTCCCTACCCTACAGCGGTGGGAAAACAGGCTGAAGAGCAAACATAAGGCCAGTCTCCTTGATGGCTGGAGAGGGGACCAGGGGCCAGGCCAGGTCACAGGAAAGCTGGGTCTGAACAGGGTGAGCTGGCCGAGGACTGTGTCTCAGGGTCCAGAGATGCAGAGTGAGCCCCATCCAGGCCTGGGCAAGCGGACAGTCCTGTTGGCCCTACTCACCACGTAAGCCTGGAGCTTTCTTTACTCATCAGCTTCCCTTTCTCCCAGAGGTGGCTGGAGTAGGGAGAGGCAGGGAAAGGTGCTTCTGGCCAGGGAGTTTCTTCTCAGCAGCTCTGGGGAGGCTACGGTGATGGGGGCGACCCCAGGCAGGGAAGAAGAGGACTCTCTGGGGTACAGGACCTGTGACACAGGTCAACTGAGAGTGGCTGTGCTAATAGGACACAGTAAGTATAAAATCCCTAAGCATGTGAAAAAGCCACAAGCACAAACATCACCGTACACTTGTGAAAGCCTTTTAAACTGGCTGCTAAACCTGGCTGAGCAACAGCGTCACCTGGAGCCATTTCTCACACTGGAGGTTAAAGACACCAGAGGTCTGAGAACGTATTCTTAAAGTTCTTCCCTTAGTATGAGAAAGTTCAAATTTTTTTTTTTGACAGAAAAAAAATTTTTTTTTAATGAATGCATGCATACTTGCATCTGTGGGGTGAGCATCCCATAACTGTGAATTGCTATACAAGTTGAAGGGCTGCCTCTGGGGCTAATGACTGCTGGCAGCCTGGGGCTTCAGGGATAGGCCAATGAGAACCTATCAAGAGGGCGAGTTCTAGAGCCTTGTTACTCCAAGTATGGTTCTCGGACAGCACCATGGGGCAACCTGGACCTTGTTAGAAATGCGGACTCTCAGGCCTCTGACCTTCTGAATCAGACTCTGCAGTTTAGGAGATGTCCAGCGGATTCCTGCATATTAATGTCGGTGAAGCACAGTCCAGATTACTAGTCTCCCCTCTTTTTCTCCAGCATTGTTCATTGAAATGGCTTCAAAATTTCCCACCTGATCTCCCAATTCTAATTCCTGTGTTGCCTTCTGCTGTCTGTTGGTCCTGCTGAAGCCTCTATCTCATCAAAAGTGCATATTCTGGTCTCAGAGATGAAGGGAGCAGTTGGTCCCATGCTCTGAGGACGGTATGCTGTCCTTTGAAGACAGTGATGATGCCCAGAGGAGACACGTGCTGAGTGCCCGCCTCCTTCTCTGCTGGCTCACCTACATGAGTGGTAGATCACACGGGGCCTACCACACGACCAAGCATTCTCATGACCAAAGGCCCCAGCTGGCCAGCAATGGGGACAGCGTGGAGCCCAGAGCGGGGATTTTGGTGAGGGCAGCTACTTCCCTACAGAAATGTAAAGCAGGCTACTGGCCTTATCAGGAGCACAGGAGCAGGGCAGCTGGCTGGTGTGGACCTGCCACCCACCTGACTCTGGAGTAGGGTTCCCACTGTCACCTGCGCTGGCCCCTCACACTGTCAGGGCACTGTTCTCAGGACGCTCCTGTAGGACTCTCTGGACCCCTCCTCCCCCACCCTCCCCACCCACATGCCCCCAGGGACTCACAGGATATAGCAGATGACCCCGATGCTCCACATGTCCGTGGCGTAGCCAATGGGCTCGTAGTTGATCACTTCAGGAGCCACAAACTCAGGGGTACCAAAGAGGACCTTCAGAGACCCCGCATTCTCTGTAACCAGGATGGAGAGGGATCAGTTGCGAGAACATCTCGGAACCAGCTCACAGCGAGTGGCTGCCCTGTCTGTGTGCCAGGCACAGATGTGGTTCAGCCTTCAGGGGCTGCTTCCATGGATAATGGCACACGGCATTTGTCCTCCTCCTCGTTAGGCAAGTGCATAAATACACCAGTGACGTGAACAAAACACTCACGTGGAATGTCCCGAGTGGGGTAGGGAGGAGGAGGGAGGCCGTACCATTGTGTTTGGCCTTTGTTAAAGCACCTGTCCCTGAATGATCTTGTTCGTGTGTTGTCTTTCCCATGAGTTCCCAAGGGCAGAGATTGTGACTTATCCCTAATAAAAATTTCTAACATTCACTGGCCAGTGACTGTGTCCTATGTACCATACTACCTGTTTTAAGTGGATTTTCCAATTTAATATTCTCAACAACCCTAAGAAGTAGGCCTAGTGCCCCTCCTACAGAGGGGAGTGGGGCCCAGGGAAGTGAAGTGGTTTCTCACTCAGTTAATACAAGTGGTGAAGTCAGGACTTAAACCCATCTGGTCCTACTCCTGAGCCAGATCCTTGATCATGCCCGTAGACTGCCTCTCCTACTCATCTTACAGCAGGGAGGATGATAGGGGAAACAGACCTCAACTAAGGTGCGTGTGAGGACATGCTGAAGGCTTCTGACCACCCCTGTGTAGATCCCAGCTCCTGAGGAGCTCCGCAACAGTGAGGGTGGCAGACCTTTGGCCTGGGGGCTAGATTTGGTCTCGGTTGAATTCTACAGCACCCACAGCAAATGTTTTAAAACAAAGCACTGAACAGTGAACTGCCCTTGTGATGTGGAAGCTCCACTGGAACGCTAACCTTTCCTGCTGTATCTTAACCACTTCCCAATTCTCTGGTCCTTGATGGACACCACCCTTCCTGTAATATTCCTTCACCTAGGGAATCTGTACATCGTGTTTCTTGGGCTGGGGTGCGCCCAGTGACACTGCCAGCTCCTGAGGCTCTGGCTTGCCTAGCAGTTTAGTTTGTTGGTGGTTGCAGTTCAAAGGCTGACTGTGGGTCCAGCCCTTGCCCCATCCCATCGCTTTAGCAGGAGACAGCTGAGCAGGGGCATTTGTCCCAGCATCGGGGCATGCTTCTCACCCGACTGTGCTGATCAGCAGTAAGTCATAGCCTACTAGAACCTCACTGTCTCCTTTTTCTCTTCATGACCAACGCTGCCTTGTCCAGGACTGGGCATCCTGGGAGAAGATTTGTTAGGTACCGTTGAGTTAGTTCTGACTCATAGTGACCCCATGCACAACAGAATGAAACACTGCCTGGTCTTGTGTCATCCTCACAATTGTTGCTGTGTTTGAGCCCATTGTTGCAGCCACGGTGTCAATCCATCTTATTGAGGGTCTTCCTCTTTTTTGCAGACCCTCTACTTTATCAAGCATGATGTCCTTCTCCAGGGATTAGTCCCTCCTGATTTACTAGGTGGTATTAGCTTGGCCGGAGCCCTGGTGGCACAGTGGTTAAGAGCTCAGCTGTTAACCAAAAGGTTGGAAATTTGAATCCACTATCGGCTCCTTGGAAACCTTATAGGGCAGTTCTACTCTATCCTATAGGGTTGCTATGAGTTGGAATCAGCTCGGCAATGGGTTTGGTTTTTGGTTTATTAGCTCAGCCAGTTCCTTCTGCTTCCCACGGGCTGGTGAAGAAAGGCCAGCCCCTCCTGGCCCCTAGCCCTGGGGCTCGTTAGCAGGGCAGTGGTTGGGAAGTGGAGAGTGAAGCTGCTTTCTCAATTACTGAGACATCAGAGAGCTACATAAACAGGGAGCTGAGGCTGTATGTGAGGCAGTCACTGACCAAAATGATTTCAGGAGTGGGCATGAAGGTCCTCGACAACCTTCCCCCATCCTCTCTCCTAGTGTAGGAACAGCAGAGGTGCTGCAGAGAACCCTGAACTAGGTCGGGGGTCCTTAGTCCAGACTCGAAACCTCCCCAGGCTAGCACTGGGATCTGCAGACAAAGCTACTGTGAGCCTCGGTTTCCCGGTCTATAAACTAAACCCCAAAACCCACTGCCGTCGAGTCTATTCTGACTCATAGCGACCCTATAGGACAGAGTAGAACTGCCCTATAGGGTTTTCAAGGAGCAGCTTTTGGTTAGCAGCTGAACGCTTCACCTCTGCACCACTAGGGCTCCAGTCCCATAAATTCTGCCCTACCTCCCAGGGCTGCAGGGAGACGCAGGGAGATAGAGTACGTGAAAGTCCTCTGGATACTGTACAGTGCGATGCAAATGTGAGGAGTCACCGTCACCAAAACAAGTGAGTGTTGCTGCTGAAGGCACCAGAGTAAAAGATACACAGGGGGATGACAACGATGGCGACACCTACCTGGTGCTTACAATATGCAAGGCACTGAGCTCATCACTTTACCTCATTTCATGCATACAATCCTTGAAACAACTCTATGAGGTGGAACTACTATTACCCCATTATACAGATAAAAAATGTGAGGCCCAGAGGTTAAGTAAGGTGTCCAGTCACCCAGCTAGTAAGTGGGAGAGGTGGGATTTGCATCTGAGCGGTCTCCCTGGCCTCTGATTTTAACCCAATGCCGCACCTCCCTCTAACACACAGTGTGTGGAATACAACAGCCCTGCGAGTCCCTGCGTGCTGGTGACAATGGGAGAGGGGCAGCCTTACCCAGCTTTCTGGCCAGACCAAAGTCGATGAGCTTGACCCGGGTGCCCGTCTTGTTGACACACATGATGTTCTCGGGCTTGAGGTCCAGGTGGACGATGCCCTGCTTGTGGATGTACTCCACCCCCTCTGAGATCTGCTTCATGTACTTGATGCACTCGCGCTCTGTCAGCTCAAAGTCCTCGTCGATGATGCGCTCAAACAGCTCACCCCCTGACACGCTGTGGAGCAGAAGGAAGCGAGAGGAGCACAGGCCGTCAGACCACAGCGTCATGGAGGCTGGGCTGGCAGGGGTGCTGGCGGGAAAGTCCAGTTTATGGGAGTGATGGGCACCCTGCAGCTTCCCAGGAGTCTGAGGGCACAGCCCTTAGGTTGGTCCCAGTCTTCCTTCACGGGAGGAGGGCCAGGGCCTCCTGGTTTCCTGCTGAAGAACCCTGCCCTATACCCACTGAGCTACTGGGGGACTCAGGGAAGCATCTAAACTGGGATAGTTTCAGAGGTGGGCATGAGCTATGAGAACCAGATATGACCTTCTCAGCAAAAGGATAACCACTAGTCAGTCTTTTTCTCCGAAATGACATAGATGCATAAGGGAACATTCTTGTACTCTAGCTTGTCTTTTAGCTACAGTGAAATGAGGTATAAAATTCAGTCCCCATACCCGTTGCCTTCAAGTCAATTCCAACTCATAGAGACCCTATAGGACAGAGTAGAATTGCCCCTTAGGGTTTCCAAGGAACAGCTGGGGGATTCAAACTGCCAACCTTCTGGTTAGCCGCCAAGCTCTTAACCACTGCACCACCAGGGCTCTGTCGGTACTCATAAGCATTTTATCTGCATACTCAGGAAGAGAAATATTAAGAAGCCTCAGTAAATTTTCTAAAATTTTTCTAAAATTATACCTCCACCACCTGTCAGTTTACCCTATAGTGTTGGCTTGTGTGTTGCTGTGGTGCTAGAAGCTATGCTACTGGTATTTCAGATACCAGTAGGGTTATGCATGGGGGACAGGCTTCAGGGGAGCTTCCAGATTAAGACAGACTAGGAAGAAAGGCCTGGCAATCTACTTCCACAATTAGCCAACGAAAACTCTATGGATCACAACAGAACATTGTATAATATAGTGCTGGAAGATGAGCGCCTTAGACCGGAAGACGTTCAATACAGACAGTGGCCGTAACAGTGGCCTCGGGCACACCAACAATAGTGAGGATGGCACAGACTGAGCAGTGTTCTGGTCTGTTATACATGGGATCGCCTTGTGTTGGAGCCAACCCCACAGCAACTAACAACAACCCCTTCTATCTGCAGTAGTGACAGATTTGTTTACCCTCTGGGTAGGCCTATAGTATCAGTTTACTGCTTCCAGCTGTAACTAACTTGTCTGGCCTCAACCCCTTCCTAGCCCAGGCTGGAAGTGTGTAGTAAATCTTTCCTACCTCAACAGACTTTGGATCCTGGTCACGTCCAATCAGCCCCAGGCTTCTGGGGCCCACAGCCAGGCATGCTCTGCCAACAGCTGCTCCAGGGGCTTTAGCCAGCCGGCATCTTGCCTTCAGTGTAAATGCACGGCCTCATGGCCTGGTGGTGTGGGCACTCTCTGCTCCCCATCCCAGCCCTCTGACCCACCGTCACTGCTCCCTGCTCAGAAAGATTAAAGTGTCTCCTGGTAAATTTTACAGCATCCACACATCAGTAAGTTCCTTTTTCTACAACAATCTGCAGGCTGACCAGCTGAACCAGGCTAAGTGGGCTTCGTTCTGGGCATATTCTCCTGCAAGGTCCTTCTCTCTCCTAAGGGGAGCCATCATGAAGAAGGGAAAGAGCTGAGTTTGAATCTCGTACCTGCCTCTTGCGAGCTGGGTGACCTTAGGCAAGTTGCTTAACCTTTCTGAGCCCTCTTCCTTTTCTGCCCCTACCTCATAGAGTTGTTAGGAATAAAGGAACTTATGTAAAGCATCATGCCCAGCACACAGTCAGAGCTCAGCACATATTAGTTATCCTTTAACAGTCTGTGGTGGGGCAGGTGGGTGTTGACACTGACCCTGAGGGAGCGATGGGCAGGGAAGCACCATGGGGCCCAGCACACTGCAGCCTCTCTCCGCCTCCATCACCACATCACAAACACTTGATTCAGGAAGGTCAGCCTAGGCCTATGACCGCTGGTGAAAGCTGAACTGATGTTAGAATCAAACCAAGACGGTATCCCTAGGTGGCCAGAAGGTGGCGCTACTGTTCTCAAGACCTCCATTTCTATTGTTAGCCACTAAGGCTCCAAATCCAACTCTATAATCTTTATTTGAGATCTCAGCTGATTCTCTTAACATCCGTGTGCTTCAATTTCCTCACCTGTAAAATGCGGATAAAAACAGCACCACCTCACAGCGTTGCTGTAAAGACTGAGCTAATACAGGTAAAGTGCTTAGAGGAGTGCCTGGTATACAACAAGTACTCAAGGATGTTAGTGCTCATATTTTTGTTTTATTAAGAATCACTTGGGACTCTCGTTGAAAATTACAGATTCACAAGTTCCTACCCTAGAGATTTTGATTAAAAAAAATCTTGGGAGGGATCTGAGGACCCATATTTTTAGTAAGTACCCCAGGTCATACCCCTAGGTCATTCTTATGATCAGATAAATCTGGGAAATACTGGCTTCCTCAATTACCACTGCTGGGATGCCAGCTGAAATTCACGGTTCCCTGAGAAATCACTCCTGATTTCCCCACATGAAATGATCTTTCCCTCCCTGGGAAAGTGTCTCTGTACTGTTTGTATCAAGTCTGCCCTGTTTTAAAGTTGTTTGTGCCCATGTCTGGGTAAAGTCTAGCTCATCTCTGGACCCTTACTAAAACCAAACCAGTTGCCGTCAAGTAGATCCGACTCATGGTGGCCCCATGCGTGCGGAGTAGAACTGCTCCACGGGGTTTTCAGCCAGCCAGAAACTTTCTGGAAATAGATGACCAGGCCTTTCTTCTGAGGTACCTCCAGGTCGGTTCGAACTGGCAACTTTTCAGTCAGTAGTCAAGCTCTTAACCGTCTGTGCCATCCAGAACTCCTCTGGACCCTCACTAGAAACTGGCGATATCTGGCACAGACCAGTGCTCAAAAACGTTTGCTTTTGAATTTAAATATCCTGAAAAAGCAAGTCACCATCATTTGCAGCGGCCTTGGGAGCGTGTGAGGCATAAGAGGTAGAAATCTGAGGCTTCGAGATGGTTGCTGCTGCATTTATAGAGGTACCTAGTCAATACGGGTTCAAACAGGTTCAAACCTATTCATATCAGGGCTTTGAACCTGTTCATTCAGCAGAGCAGTGGTTCTCAAAATTTATTATACATAAGAATCACCTGGGGCTCTTGTTAAACTGTAGATTCTGATTCAGTAGATCTAGGGTAGAAATGTACATTCTCAGCAGGGGTTCAAATCAGAACGAACCGGTTTGAAGCTCTGATTCAAATATATTTAATATGCTTGTTAATTATAATGATTAATTAAAACCGTTCCTAGGGTCTGTTTTCTAGCATGGAAGGGATTATACAAACAGGATTAATGGTTCAGTTAGGTTTCTCTTCAAAATGCTCAAGACTATGGGTGGAAAGTATTGTTTTGATAGAAAGAAGCCTCCACCCACAGAGATGGGATAATTCTAGGGTAAGACTGGACCAGATGAAATGTGTGCTTAATAAATTAATACCGAGTGAGTAAGTGGTTAAGTGAGTGACTATCTACTACTGCCAAGGCTACCTAATCCCAAGGGATCACATTTATCCCTAAAGTTCTAGACCTGGGCCAGCTCTCGCTTGGCAGCCAGAAGCAAGGGTGCTATTAGGGGACTCAACACCTCTACACCTTGCCTTCCGGCACCCAGCTGGACATTCTTTGAGCCTTTTGCCAACGGTACAGAAACCTGAACTGGGCCGTGATGACTCGGCCTGAACACACATCCACTTCAGTGCTCAGGTCCCACCACCACTTGGAAGGTCCCAAGCACTCCCCAAAGGACGAGCCTGGGCTCTAGGCCAGGGGCCCGAGGGAACCATTGTCCCAGAGCAACACTGCGGTAATGATGGGGGCTTGCCCAGTTATCAGAGGTCAGAACGGCTGAAGACACACTCATTCTTACTTCTCACTGTATCTGAGGTCGCTGAACTGAAGGCTGGGGTGCTGGAACACATTTTCAGTTTTCTTTATCAGCAGCCATCCCACTTCCCTTAATCTCCATGTCTCCGTCAATCAAAGACAACAGCAGATTGTACTGCTGAGAATCCATCTCGCCCCTCTCAGTGGCCAAGTCTTAGAACGTTTCAGCTGGAGGAACGTACGAATCGAGTACGAACCTGCTGACTTCTTCTATGGTTGAGCTTCTATCGAGGGGCAAGCTTCTTACCCCAAATGCAGGCTAATCCTCTGGCATCCGTGCATGTAAGACTCGCTCCTGTCCGTGGGGGAGGCAAGGGGAGGAGGGATGAAAGCCAGGCCAGCTGAGGCCTTCTTACATTTTCTCTCTACGTTTTCCATCTGGCTTGCCAACTCCCAATTCCAAGCTAAGTATGGTATTCTGCCCACTGGTGCTGCTGCCCGGCCTTACCCAGGCTCGGCTGCCTCCTGCCCCTCCCTGCCCCCGCTCAGGAACTTGCTCAAGGTTTGACTTCTAAAGATAAGACATTTCTTCACATGTCCTCACAAACCCACACTGCCTGGATGGACTAGGCAACCTGTTCTAGAATAAATATGGAAAGCTGCAGCCCACAGGAGTACTGTGAGGGTATAATTTATGAGCGAGGCCATGGACTGGGCTAAGTATTTCCAGGAAGTGAGGAGGAAAGTTTGAATTTAGGGCTGAGAATAGAGTCTAAGGGATGAGTTAAGATTTTCTCTGAGTCTTTTGCAGTTCCCCAGCATTATACAATTTTAGAGCCCGTTAGGGGTCTTGGGATTGAAGATTCTAATCCAAATACCTCTTCTCGCTGATAAGATTTAACAAATGCAAAATCACGGCTTGACAGCAGCAGAATTCAAACCCAGGTTTTCTGAATACCAGCTAAGATTTGTTCCACAACACTTAGTTGGACGTTAAAATAGTCCTGACCAGAAAATGCTCACAAAGTAACTTTAAGTGGAAAAAAGACCAAGATACAGAAGAAAAAAAAAAAAAAAAAGTCAATACATCATACCACCAACAATAGCTAACGATCCAGAGCACTGTGCCTCACACGCATTATTCTGTTTAATCCTATAGCATTCATGAGGTGGTTTTAATAGCCTCTTCTTATAGATAATAAAATTAAGGATTGGAGCAGTTGAGTTACCCATCAAGGTCACATACGAAGGAAGAGGCAGAGCTGGGGTTTGAAGTGAGATTTATCTGACTCAAGTCTGTGCTCTTAACCACTATTGCCTTTCTCAAGGAAAGGGAAAAACGCAACACATGCTTGGGGATGGGAAAGAACCCCGAGGCCTTGACAGAGTGTTCTCCAAAGGACTGAGGCTTAGGGTGAGCACTTCAAGGGTGCTGAAGGCAATTTTACAATATCTCCACAGATTTCACATGCACAGGCACGTTGATACAACACTCCCACGCTCCTGGGAATTTCTCCCGCAGACATATGCAGGCATGAGTGAAATGATGTCTGTGCAAGGTCACAGACACGCTGGTGTCTATCAGAAGAAGACTGTATGTGGCGCAGCCATACAACAAAACCTTACGGGGCTGTGAGACTGAGGAAGCTTACCAAGAACTGAGAGGGGACTGTCGCCAAGATAAACTGCTGAACGAAAAAAAAGCCAAGGATAGAATAGTGAGCACAATAAGCTACCCTTGTGTTAAAAGAATACAGACAAAACCAACAAACTTGGTCACCTATAGTGAGGGGGTAGGTGAGAACAGGGGGCAGGGGTGGGAATAAGACTTTTCACTGCGTATTCTCTTATAATTTTTGATGTGATTGTACCATCTACTTTTTAAAAAAAGATGAAAAAAGGAAAGGTAACTCTTAAAAGATCTAGGCACTGGGGAGGACACCTGCCAGTCTGTGCGTGTGTGCGCGTGTGTGCGTGTGTGCGCGTGTGCGCGCGTGTGCGCGTGTGTGCGTGTGCGCGTGTGTGTGCGGGGCCAGCACCTCAGAGGTGGTGAGAGGCGGTGTGGGGCTGGAACGGAGAGAAAGCAGTGGGCTCTGAGAAAGGCTTGCCTGGAGGTCACCTGATCCATCCCCGCCATTGTATAACCCAGCAGAGAGGCACTGCTCCCGGGGAGTGTGAAGTCCAAAGGGTACAAGCCAGGATGGGAGGGGCATGCAGAGGCACAGCGCCAGGCTGGGCAAGGATGGCACTCCTGGACTCCGGGCTCCCAGCCCTGAGCCCCCTGCCCTGCTGTACAGGAGTCAGGAAGCTGCTCTGTCCCTGCCCTTCTACTCTAAAGCCACCTATAGGTCAGAATGTGAACCAAGAATGGAACCAAGGAGTCTAGGGACAGCCCTCAGTGTTTGGCCCTTTCATGGGGAGATGAAATGGGCACCGGGTTGTCAAGGATCTGCCTGTGGGTGCTCAGTGGGTCAGAGCAGCCCTGTGCACAGAACTTCTGCTCTGACTGTCACAGCCCTGCTGCAACACTCTCCATCTTGGGGCAGAGGTGGCCGGGGCAGGACAGCGCCACAGAGCAGGAAGCACGTGCGGGGCTCCCGGGTCGGCAGTGCCTGGGCTGCGGGGCCACTCACATCTCTAGGACCATGACGATGTTGGCCTTCTCTTCGAAGGCGTCCACACACTGGACCAGCTTATGGTGGTGCAGGCAGTTCATGATGCCGATCTCCTGCCGGATATTCTCCTTCTCTTTTGCCGAATATGCCTTGAAGAATTTCCCTGCCCAGATTTTTCCAGTTTTCTTTTCTACAAGTCGAAACACCTGTCCAAATTTTCCACTGCAAGCAAGAGGGGGAGAAGAGAAAAGCCCAAGTTAGTCAAGCTTTCCACTATAGAGGGGCTGGCACACTATGGCCCTTGGTCCATATCTGGTCTGCCTCTTCTCATAAGTGAAGTTTCATTGGAACACAGCCATGCCCATTTGTTTACCCACTGTCTTTGGAAAGCCCGGTGGTATAGTGGATAAGAGCTACGACTGCTAACCATAAAGGCCGGCAGTTGAAATCCACCAGGCGTTCCTTGGAAACTCTATGGGGTTGTTCTACTCTGTTCTATAGGGTCGCTATGAGTTGGAATCGACTCAACGGCAACAGGTTTGGTTTGGTTTTGGTATGGCTGCTTTTGTGCTACAATGGCAGAGTCGAGTACTTGTGATGCAGACTGTACGGCCCACAAAGCCTAAATATTTAGTATCTGGCCCTTTACAGGGAAAGTTTCCTGACCTCTGCTCTAGACTAAGGAGCCCCTGGGTGGCGCAAATGGTTAAGTGCTGGGCTACTAATCGAAAAGCTGGTGGTTCGAATCCACACAGAAGCTCCTCAGAAGAGAGGTCTGGTGATCCACTTCCAAAAGCCAGCCATTGAAAGCCACAGCTCTACTCTGACACACATGGGGCTGCCATGAGTCGGAATCAACTCAACAGCAACTGGTTTTGGCTCTAGACCAATGAAGCACATTTCTAACAATGACAAACCTACTCTCTATCACTTGCCAACCTCAGCTGATGCCCAGCCGGGTATCCCTGCCCAAACACTGCCTGGTCTTGCTGCTCTTTCAGGGACCATCATCTCCTCCTTGGGATGAGGCCTCAGTCTTGGCTGATGGACTTCTCTTCCCTTCTTGGTGGAGGGACCCACAAAGCTGGGGTGAAGTAATCTTCCCCAAATGCAGAGAATGACTGAGCGACTGCCTTCCTTCCACTCCCCTCTGCAGCACTGGTCCCTTGCGAACAGGCCCCAGAAGGGTCTGCTGCCCACTGGGTCGGGAGGAGAGCTGCGGTGTTTCTCTGTGGTACAGCTTGCCCAACAGAGCAGACTTGTTTTACAGAGCGTTTTACAAATCACAGTGATTTTACAAATCACTCCTTTATTTCCAAGAAACCCACCGAGAATAAAAGCTGAGCCCCACTCCTTTTTCTTCCGCCTCCACACTCCTCTGGGGAGAGAGAGTTGGGGGGATGTGGACAGCCTTGGGTGCTGCTAGAGGGGGCAGCATGGCTGTGACTAGGGCTCAGGGATGGGGGCCTGGGCCCACTGGTGTCCTCCACACCCCAGGGAGGAGCCTATGTACACAGTGCAGATCAAATTCACCAAGGGGACGGGGATGACCAGGCCGTGCCTCTCAAGGACAGGGGAGTGGAGCACTCAATACAGCTAGAGCCGCTGGACCACGCGCCCTAGCCAGACTCGGCTGATTTTGCGCATCAAATGGAAGGAGCCTAAAAATAATCGGATCCAGACCCAGTCTCTCATTTTAGTCTGTGTGGAGAACTGAGGCACAGAAAAGGGAGGGACTGGCCCAAGGCTTCCCCAGGGTGCATCCAGGGCCAGGACGGCGCCAGCAGCTCCTGACAGAGCCCTGGTGAGGCACGCTTTCCTGGGTGCTGACAGGGTCAGTCCCTCCTGATTCTGCAGGGGTCTCGGGCCCAGGAGACCGAGCCTGGGAAAAGACAGGAAGACAAGGCACTGAATGTAACCGTCGGAGCTGTACCACCCTCACCCGGAGGCAGCTTCCCACCGCACTTACGATCCTAGTCTCTCCTCAATGTCGTAGAAGTCAGACACTTTTTGTTCGGTATTGACTGTCACTGTCCGGTAATCCACCGTGGGCTCCTTCTCATCTGCAGGGTGGGGGTCGGGGGTCGGGGTGAGTGTGACCCATCAGACCCCCTGGCTCACCCCCCTCCGCCTCGGGAGCCCGACCTGAGGACAGGTGGCCAGCACTCACCATCATCTGACACCTCCACTTCGTCCTTCGGCTCTGGGGGAGACAAGGAGAGGCAGAGAGGACACTGGTGAGCACGGAGGGCCACTGAGAGCAAAGCCATGCTGGGCTCCTGGCCAGGCCTCACCTGCTTTCCCAGCCACAAGACTACCAAGCCCCAAGTCTGGGCAACCCTCTGGGGTCAGACTGGCAGGTACTGGCCTCCTCACCCTACCCATCATCACTCCTCCACCCCCATTCCTTCCTCTCCAACCTTGCCGTCCGCTAGAGAGAGCCTTCTTCACATCTCTGCCAGCTCTTCTACCTTCCAGAATCCACACACAACTGTAACAGCCCCTTTCTGCCCTTGCTTGAAAGTCGGCAACTTAAAGTTGCTTGAGTGCCAGATCTATTTCTGCGTTTGTTGAACATTTTTTATGGAACCCCTGCAGTGTCCCAAGTGTCTTACCAGTTACTGTAGGTACACAAAATATACAAAAGGCATGGCCTCTCTTTCTTTGGTGGAGCTTATAATTTAGTTGGAGAGGTAAAAACATATGTACTTGAAAGATCAATTCCAAAGTGTTATATAATCAAGCATGTGATATCACGGTATAAACTGAATACACAACGGAAGAAAATACTCAAAATTGCCGAAGTCTAAAGCAGTCATTCCTAGAAGAAGTCCTTGAGTTGGGTCTTAAAGGAAATGATGGAACACAGTGAGGAGGTGGGTGAAGTCACACCAGTGAAACCAACAGATGTTTATGAGGTGGGGCAAGAAAGAGGGACATGGGCACACACCCCTCCAGGCCTTGGTAGCCCCTCTCATGGACACGTCAGGAGTAGGGTGGAGGTGGGGGATGGACAGCATGTCCAGTAGAACACACCCACTTCAGAACTCCAGGCTCTCCTTTGCCTTTGTATCAGTTTGCCCCTAGACACTGGGTTACTATGGCTTCTTGGCCTTGGCTAAGTGCTTTTCCCTTTCTGGACCTCAGTTTCCTCATCTGTAACAGGAAGGAGTTGTACGAGATGATTTTTAGGGCCCCTGGATAGCTCTAAGTGCAGTGTTTTGCAGCTTGCTCTGTGCTCCTCAGTCATGATCTATCTGGGTTGTGTTCTAGTTGACAGGTGGTATGAAGGGAGGTTTCCTGAGGAAAAAGACCAAAAAGACTTGAGACAAAGCATAAAGAGGGGAAAATTATTTATGAATGTGTGTGTGTATAAGGCTTGGGGAAAGAGTGATTTGCTGAAGCGTCCAAGAGAATAAGATTGAGGAGAATTCCCTTTGAGGGGAGAGTACCGATGAATCTCCTCTGAGAGAAGAAAAGAGTGGAAGGGACAGAGGTTGGTCAGACACCGCCCAGCAGGGAGGGGTTGTGTGTGAGTTGGCTGAGCTTTGCGGCGCTTTGGGGAGGTTTGCAAGTTGAGTGTGATGACTGCAGGACAAACTACTGAATACCTAAGCAAACTATCTGAGAAAAAGGAGCGTGGTTCTTATACAGGATAAGTACTCCTTGCTGATTAAGAGTTTTGACGGAGTATGTAAGCATATGGCCAAGAACAAAGGGAGGCCGTGATTTTGAGTCCTTAAAACTCTGCTGATGAAGTTACACAATAACAAGACAAACACGAATGGGTTTGGGAGGAATATTTTATCACCAAAAGGAAATTGCCACGAAAACATAAAATAGGCTGAGAGAGACAGGTATTCTCGGTTAGAGTTCAGCTGATGAAGTATTAGTGGTGGTGTTTCACAGATACTGCCCTGACAGGGGTCTAGCTGATCAATTTTTCTAAATCACTCATTTGAGACTGAAGAGTGATATTATCAAATTTACAGATGACAAGCGGGCACCTGAGGGAGGTCTCACATAAGGCTGGGAGCCGGTCATGAAGTCCCGTGTTCTCGGAAAACGTAATCATCCTCCTCAGGGGATGATAAGCCTGAAGGTATCTAGTTCAAATCCAAGAGAGGGATGGGAGACATGCAGACAGTATCTCAACCCACTGCTCCGGCCACAGAAGGTTGCCATAGGGAGAATGGGCACTGGCTACAAGCAAGGGTTACTACTCTGCCCTTGGTAGAGCTTGCTTCATCTGCTCCTGCAACTCTGGCTGTTGGCATTGAGAAAACTTTGGGGGAGCTGGAGGAGGCCATTGAAAGGAAGGGCTGCCAGGTTAAGTAAGACCAAAAAAAAAAAAAAAAGGTTCGGCGTGTCCCACTGGGAAAGAAATCCAAAGCAAACAGGATCCAAACTCGTTGCCATCAAGTTGATTCCAACTCATAGTGACCCTATAGGACAGAACAGAACTGTCCCATAGGGTTTCCAAGGCTGTAAATCTTCATGGAAGCAGACTGCCCCATGTTTCTCCTGCGGAGCAGCCGGTGGGTTCAAACTGTTGACCTTTTGGTTAGCAGCTGAGTACTTTAACCACTGCACCACCAGAGTTCTTTAAAGCAAACATGATAAAAAAATAAAATTATCCAGTTGACAAGGGTGAGATTAGGTTATGGACTTTTCACTAATCCAGGGATACAACAACATGAGGGAAACATCTAGTGTTACACCTTACACAGGAGGGAGGCTATAAGCGTAAGGAACTGATACATCAGGAGGTTTTATAAGAAGAGTAAGTAGGTTCAATAGATGTTCAGGTTAGCTGAACGATATTTCAAACAGGGTTTTAAGAGAAGCAAGAGATTAACGTCAATCCAACAATCATTAGTTGAGCCCTTGGTGGATGTTCGTTGTGGGAGTAGGTCTTAGGACAAAATAATAACAATACTGACTGTCGGACAGGCCCTATTGTCCTGTTTGTGGTGCCTTGTCTGAAATGGTGGACCTGACCTGTTGAGGTATCCCTTATTATTTTGTTCCCTGCCACATTCTCCAGCTATGGCGTGGAAACCAGAGCAGTCTGAGCAGCTGGGTGAGAGAGAAGAGGGAAGGCAAGCTTTCCTGGCCTGGCATCTTCAGGAGGAACCACTGGACTTTCCCAGCAAGGGAGCAGCAGTGCTGGGAGCCCGGGAATGCTTTCCAAAGAGCCAGCACCATGGGGTCACTTTCCAGCTAGCCCTGAAGAGGGCATCCAGTTCTAGAACTGGCCAATCCCTCTGACACCAGTTAGACAGCCACAGAGCTAGCTTTCTTGCCCCTCACTCACAAACGCTATACCCACTCAACCTAGTCAATCAAGATGTCTCCTTTCTTCCTACAAGATGCATCATATATTCCTGGTTCTTTGGTTGTGGAGACCAGATCACCCTTAGGGAATTCAAACCCTTCTTTTCAGCTTACTGTTATACCACAGCCTTCCTCTATGTGCCATTCTGATCAAGACTCCAGGCTGATACATTTCCCTTCTTTCTTTTTCTTCTTGTCCTGTCTGCCATTCTATTTGGAGGGGATAATGACTGCAAGAGGAGAAGCAAGAGAGAAATGGAGGAAAGACCATATATTTCAACCGGCCAGCTCTTGGAGCGTAAAGGGCTGTAATAATGAGAAAGGACCACCTGGTCCCTATCTTTCCACTGAGGAAAGAGCTAAAATTGCAGTAGGAGGGACTGTTCAACTCAACATTTAAGAAAAAAATCAGTTCAGAAAGAGCTACAAGGTCCAAGAGCTAAGTGGAAGGACTATCTTGGATTTTGTTCTGAGGTCTTCTTGGAAACAGATGAGAGAGTGTTTGGGTGAAGACCACCTGTGACCTCAGGACCCTCTGGTCAGACTGTCCATTTCCACAGTGAGGCCTGCTGCACTCCCGGTGGGCACTAGAGGGCACCCCAGCCACAGAGACAGCCTCTGAGAGGCAAGGGGCATGAGTGTCTGATCCTACCCTTCAGGTTCTGCACCCCTAACTGCCCTGGAGGTTGCAAGGAAGCCCCAAGTGCACAAGAACCCTCAGTCACAGCTGTTTTGATGCCAACTCTATAGATTAGAACAAATTAGAGTCAGGAGCAAGGATGGAATAGATTTAAGAGTTAGAGCAGGATAAGGGTGGGAGTGGAGTTGAGGTTAATGCTCAAGATCTGGCTGAGATGGGAAAGAGCATGGTCTCGTCAGGGTGGTGGCTAGTGTTTACTTAGGCTTGGGAAGGCTGGGAGGGAGCTGTCAGGTCAGCAAGTGTAGTCTCAAAAGAGTGGCTCTGGTATAAGGAGGCCTGTGGAGCCGGATGGGGAGCTCCATGCTCTGTCCTCCACTGTATCCCCAGTGCCCACCACAGCGCCGGGAACCCAGGAGGGACTCAAGATTCAATGGGCAAATAAATGTAGAGTGAGAGCTGGGATGGAAGGAATATGGATGACATTGAGGAATCAGGATGAAGTAGGAAACAAGTTGCTGAGGTAGAAGCAGGAGAGGTGGTGGTTAGAGTCAACATCCACTGGGCTTTGTGGAGTGAGGGTTAATTGGCACTGCCTTTTTGGTGACCCTCACACCCTACTGGCTCCAGTGAAATGACCTACCATAACCTCCTACCTGATCCTTTGTCTCCACCCTTCCGCCTCCCATACCCCACTTCTCTGAGAGCCACTTCCCTTTTAAAGTAGAGAGATGACCTGCCCAGGCTTCTAACAACGAAAGCACCCGAGCAGTTAGCTGTAGACTTTTGCTTGGAATCCCTAATCCCCACTGTCCTCTGCTCCTCAGGCCTAATGCTTGCCAACCGTTCTGCCCCTTCTCCTCTCCACCTTGGGCCTTGGGGAGGGAAGCAGCCTCCTGTCTGAAAGCCCTGGTGGCCTGGACCCCTCCTCTGGATTTCAACATTTCCTTGCCTGCTCCCAGCAGGGGAGGGGCCCTGGGAGGGAAGGAGAGTCCAGGACCACAGGAGAACTTCAGCTGGCTGCAGGGAAGAGGGGAGAGGCCCTCTGCCAGAGCCAAGTGGTCCTGGCTCCTCCTCCCTTTAGACTCCCTACAGCTGGCCTGGCCTCCTGGGAGCCACAGCTCGAAGCTCTGGTGGCTGCTGGTCCTGCTGCATCAACCAGGGGTTCTAGGGCTTCTCCTGGTTTATGCGACACCACAGGCTGGGAAGCTCTTCTTCCCAGCGGATGAACATCTTCTCATTGCAACGCTACCCCTCTTCCTGTCAGTTTTCCAAGAGGCGGGGAGTCCTTTTCCTTAATAGTCAAATACTAAAAACATGCAGATTTGCAACTCAGCAGTTCCTCCTGTCACCCCTACTCTAACCTGCCTGCTCCCCCTCTGCTCATTTCACAGGGGTATTGGGGGGAGTACAAAGGCCGGTGAGTTTTGTCCTGTTTCCCTCAACAGACATTTTGAGCAGCTAGGTGGTGGAAGCCCTGTATCCTGGTCTGTCCCAGGAGCCAGGATCCACATCTTTGTGACTGTAGCGCTCAAGGAGACCTGCTCACAGTGGATGTTTAGGGTTCGTGGGTAAAGGCCACCCAGGACAGGCCTGCTTGGGCAAAATCTCAAATTTGGTATGTTTTGCGCTGGTATCCTCCTAACTTTCTGGGGCTCTCATTTCATTTGAACGTAGAGTTTTAATAGCTATTTTATACCTAATTTTTTAAATTACAGAGGGTTATCAAATTGTAATCACAGTTTCACACTCATGATACTTCGAGGTATGTGGTGATTTCAGGACCAGCTTCTTCCTCCAGCCCCTGTGGTACTTTAGACTCTCCACAATCCTCTCTCTACTCACACCTCTCTCCTCTCTCCACTAGCTCCTTTCCCTCGGGATCCCTCCATCCCCCTCTCTGCTCCCAACCTTTCCTCTACCTTAAATTCACAGCACCCTTTTTCCTCTCTTCACATGAAACTTTTTGAAATAATATTCCACACTCCTGGCCTATCCTTCCCTCCTTAACCATGGCAACCATTTTTCCACCTTGTGGAAACTCTAGAGACTTTGCCTTAAAATATCACTACCAACCGAAAGCAGTTCGAATCCACCAGGCGCTCCTTGGAAACTCTATGGGGCAGTTCTGCTCTGTCCTATAGGGTCGCTATGAGTCGGAATCGACTCAACAGCAATGGGTTTGGTTTTTTTTTTTTTTTGGTACCAATCAAAGGGCTAAACCAAAGATCTTTTCAGAGTTCTCATCCTTTTCATCTTTAGCATTGGATGTTGGTCACTGAGACCTCTTTGCAACTCACTCTTGCCCCTGTTTCTGCAACATATCTCTTGCCTCCTCTTGGCTGTCTGTCCTCTCCATTCTTTCTCCAGGTTTCAAAGGCTCCTTAATTTAGGTATTGGTAATTGTGGTGCAGCGAATTACTTAATATGGCCCTTCTAGTCATAGCCTTTGTGACTCCCACAAAATGATTGGGTGGGACTATGCAAATAAGGTATTTATGGCCTACCAAGGGGATTGGACAGCCTGCTAACAATGCAAATAAGGTGCATGGAACCCCTGTGGGGTGTCAGACCATGCAAATAAGGTATATGGAACCTTAATGAGGGGACTGGGAACCTTAATGAGGGGACTGGTCAGTTTTGCCATCCTGCTAGCCTTAAAAGAGAGCCAATTCGAGAGCAGAGGGGGTACCTCACTATCAACAAGAAAGAACAGCCAGGAGTGGAGCACATCCTTTGGACCCGGGGTCCCCATGGTGAGAATCTCCTAGACCCAGGAGACAGACAGAGAGCTATAACACTGAAGACAGCGCGAGATGGTGAGAAGTGGCAAGCATGGCAGAGAAATGTAGACCTGCAGGAGATGGCATGGTGGGCTTCCCAGCCCACAGAATGGGTGGCTACAGTGGTCATGCCAACTAATGGAGAGAGCTGAGCACCTTTGAGCAGGAGGCTTGCTGATGGAGTAGGGTGCCTCCAGGGCGGGCAGTTATCTGTGGGGCTAGGCTTTCTGACCCAGGAAGCAAGAGAGAGCTGAATGCCTTTGGGCTGAGGCTTACTCGTGGAGTGGGGTGCCTCTGAGCACTTACTGGCGGAGCTAAAGAGCTTGCTAAGACTTGCCCAAGCAGGGCGGAGGCAAGGCAGAGAGGCTGAGAGGCTGATGGCCAGGGAGAGGCCTGCCTGCAGGTACAGCTGAGAAGAAGCCTGTTCCTTCCCTAATAAACCCGTAATTATAACCTGTTATTTCCCTAATAAACTCATAATTGTGAGTATTGTCTGTGAGTTCTGTGGGGCCATTGCAATGAATTAACAAACCCAGCAGAGAAGTAGAGAGTGCCATGGGAGAGACAGCTGGTGTCAGAACTGGTAAAAAGGGTGGAGGATGGAGGTATGTTTGACCTACATCTCACAGGAATCAGCCTTGGGCTGTTGTTGATGATGATGGTGATTTTCTCTCCTCCCTCTCCTAAAGGAGGGGGTCTGACACCATGCCACACCATCTTTACAGTGTTCCTTTGGGTTCTGTCTTCAGCCCTGCTGATTTTCTCTAAGACTGTCATTGATGCCCATGGCTTCAATTATCATTTAAATGGGGAAGATTCCCATATCTGTGGTACTAGTTTAAATCTTTCTCCTGAGCTCTAGACTCAACTGTTCAGCAGTCTGAAAGACACCTCCACCTGGATATATCCCTTGGACACCTCAACTCAACAGGTCTGAAACCAGGGATCCTGTCTACTCCCAGACTCCTTGTTATCTAACCTTCAAGTCACTCAGGCAGGAACCTGGGAGGCAGCCTGTTCTCCTCTCTCAGTCTAACTCATGGTAAAGAGCATAGGCTTCAGGGTCAGACAAGCTTGAGTTCAAGCTTGAACTTGCCATTTGCAAGCTCTGCGACCTTTGGCAAGTAGCTTCACCCCTCTAAACCTCATTTACTCCATCTATAAAATGGGGGTAATAACAGTATCTACTTCATTGGGTTATTAGGATTGAATGAGATAATGCATGCAAAGCGCTCAACATATGGTTAGCATATAGCAACTTCTCAATATATGTTAGCCATGATTAATAATAATAGACCCCTAAATAGTTCTTGAACTTGTTTTCAGTTACCCACGCCAGGACTGGGAGTCATCTTAGACTGTTTCAACTTTTCCCCTCAACTCTCTACTCCAAAATTCATGAAGGATTGCCAATTCTACCTCCCGAAGCTTTAGTTCATGCCCTTCCCATCCTGTCTGGGACTATTTCCACAGGGGCCCAACTGGTATCTTCCTGACTCTAATTCTGTCCCACTCTAATCCATCCTCCACTCCAGTGCTTCTCCAACTTCTATGTGCACACAAATCACCTGGGGAGTGGATCATGTTAATATGAAGCTTCAGAAGGGACTGTGGGGCCCTGAGATTGTGCATTTCTAACAAGCTCCCAGGGGCTGCCAAGGCTGCTGGTCCATGACCACAGTTTTCGTAGCGATCTCTACTCTTTTCCCAGTTCTCTCCCTAAAAAACAGATCTAATCTCATTAATCTCCTGCCAGAAAATCTTTGATGAACTTCATAATTTTACCTGGACTACCTTTTCAGTCTTACTTCCTCCTATTCTGTGTCACACGGCATATACCTGGCCACCCACCAGATTCTCAAAATGCCTTGCATTTCCATAGCTTTGTACCTTCTCTCATACTATTTGCTCTGTGTGGAATGCCCTTCCTTATTTTTCTTGACTCTTAGAATCCTATTATTTTTTTCCGAGGCTCAGCTTAAGTACCACCTCCTGCAGGAAGCCTGCCTTCACCTCCATGGCAAAATTATTCATGTTTTCTGCCACATCCCCTTAGCTCTTTGTTTATATCACTATAATAAGATGTGCCCTGTTCACTAGAGTTAGCTGTATACACACCTGTCTCCCTATTTAGATTTTAAGTTCCTTGTCTTATCTATCGTCTCTGTGTCCCAAGTACATGGCACTGAGTAGGCACTCAAATGTGAGTGCAAAAGAAGGAGAGAGTGATAAAGGAACTTGAGGTCTATCTGCGCTCCTGCCTTCCAGGACTGAGTAACACACCATCACTACCTGGTGGCAGTGTACCAAAATTGCAGGTTCAATGTTTTTTGAAAGGCCACATAAATGTCTTTAAAAGTATAAATCAGCATCACAACCTTGGAAATCAAGACCCCCCAAAGACCTTGTCAAACAGTCACTGTCGATATCTTCTCAGTCCCTCAGTATCCCTCTAAGTACAGGTTTCTGCATACACATCAAAAATCACGCACACTGCAAGTCAGCGATGAAGGGAAGGCAGCCTACCCTCGGGTTTCTCTCCCACCGTTGTGAGTTCCGACTCCAAGCTCGGCTCACTGGTTCCATACACGTTGATGGCGCGCACACGGAATTTATACTCGCGGTCAGGCAGCAGGTCCTGGACGTTATAAGAGGTGCTGCGGCATGTGGCCAGTTCCTTCCACATCTTGTCCACTGAGTCCCAGATCTCGACACTGTAGGACTGTACAGCACTGCCCCCGTCATACGAGGAGCCGTACCAGGACAGAGTCAGCGAGGAGCTCCGGATATCAGAGGCGCAAGGCGTGCCGGCTGGGGGGTCTGGCTTATCTGGGAATATAGAAGCACAACATCACCCAAATGCATTGGAATTGCAAGAAAGAAAAGTTTTTGAGTTAGCTCTGTCTGTTGTTGGGGAGAAGCAGCCCAGAGAACCCAAGTTGAAGCTTCTAGCCTTGGCTTTCCTTCCCCCATCACGCACCAAAAACCATCAGACCTGCACACAGACCACCTATACAGAAAGCCCCATCTGTATCTATGTGCTCAGAAGATCTTTTTTTCTTTTGGCTAGTCTTCCAGTCTACAAGTCGTGATTTCCTGTACTTTTCCCAAGTCATAAACACACTTGGCAGAGTAAATAGCTTTAGGAAGCTACCCAGAAGGCGTGGACTGTTTTTCATCACAGGTATGCTTTGAGAGAGAGCAGTTGTGTGTGTGTACGTGTGTGTCCTTCAGGCCCTAGGCCAGTGACCTGTGCTGTAACTAGGTGTCTGCCTCCCCTCTCTCCGGAACTTGGAAAACGCCTGCCCCACTGAGGGGCAGTAAAGCACAGTGGTTGGGCTCTGAAGTCAGACCGATCTATTTGAACATGGCTCTGTCCCCACTCATTAGCTGTGAATCTCTCTATGCGTCAATTTCCTAGTCCGTAAAATGTGCATAATAATAGCACTTGGATCACGAGATCATTGTGAGAAGTTGTTAGAACAGTGGCTGGTTTGGTTATTCATTACTAGCATCATTATTCTAAGACTTCATTTCTTCATTTCTACCTTTGTAAAACTTAAAAAACCATTTTGACCTCTTCTATCCTCATAGTACTGGCATACAATGAGATCAAGAATTTCCAAAGCAAACCAGTTTATAGTAGTTTTATTCATAATTGCTCCAAATTGGAAATAACCAAGATGTCCTTTAAAAGGTAAATGGATAAACAAGCTGTAGGACATCCATGCAAAGAAATATTATTCAGCTATTAAAAAAAAAAAAAAAAGAGCTATCAAGCCACAAAAAGACATGGAGGAAACTTTAATGGGTATCGCTTAATGAAAGAAGTCAGTCTGAAAAGACTCCATACTGTATGATCCCAACTATACAACATTCTGGAAAACACAAAACTACAGAGACAGTAAAAAGATGAGTGATTGCCCAGAGCTCGGAGGGAAGGGAGGAGAGAAGAACAGGTACAGCATGGGATTTTGGGGACAACGGACCTATTCTGCATGATACTGTAATGGTGGACACATGACATTACGTATTTGTCAAAACTCATAGAACTATACAACACAAAGGTGAACTCTAATGTAAACTATGGACTTAAGATAATAATGATGCGTCCATACTGGTCTGCCAATTGTAATAAATGTACCACAGGAATGCAGGATGTTAATAATAGGTGAACCTGTATGCGGAGGAAAGGGGACATATGGGAATTCTACGTACTGTCTGTGCAATTTTCTGTAAACCTAAAACTGCTCTACAAAATAAAGTCTATTAATTAAAAAACAAACACACAACAGCAAATGACGGCCATCCCTGACTAGGGGCTGGAAAATGTGCTGAGGATGCAAGAAGTGGCCCAGCTGGCCGGCTGCCTTCCCGTTCAGCCAACCTGGTGCCAAGGTCAAGCCACACCCCTGTAGTCGATACCTGAGTGCGGCTCCCGAGTTCTGCTGATCTGAACAAAATTCTCCTATTTTTCATATCTATTTTCCACAGGTGGATGGCTAGTTACAGATGTCTGTGGTCAGTAACCTTTCATTCCCCCAAAGCAATTTGACATTGGGGAGCTCTACAAACCAGCAATTTGAACCAGGCTCCCTACTCGTAAGCTCTGTGAACACTCTCTAGCAACTTCCTTAATTTCCGAGACCAGCTTGTCTTTCTCACTTGGAAAATGGTGCCAACATGTGCCTACCCTTTAGGTTTCTTGCAAGAATCAAGTAAGCGAACACAGACAAAATACTTGGCACAGTGTCTCCTACTCTCCCACCCCTCAGCAAGGCAGAAAGTCCACACGGAATTCCTGCAAATGACCCCGTGAATATGGGGAGGAAAGAACATTCTCTGTGTGTGTGTTTATGTGTCTATCAACCCCAAAACCAAGCCCACTGCTGCCAAGTTGATTCCAACTCACAGCAACCCCATGTGTGACAGAGTAGAACTGTGCTCCATAGGGTTTTCTTGCCTGTAATCTTTAAGAGATAGCCAGGCCTTTCTTTTGCAGCACCTCTAGGTGGGTTTGAACTGCCAACCTTTAGGTTAGTAGAGGAGTGCAAACTGTTTGCACCCACGTATATTCATCCCCCAACCCCCCCAAACACACACACTTCTATACTGCAGCCAAGAACGCACTGCCTGGAAACTCGCTCTCCCCAGCAACTCCAGCCTGGTCCTGGCCCAGGGACTGATTCTGGAATGGTGACAGAGCCACTTTCCAGTCTCAGCAGTCACTCTAGAGGCCTTCTGTGACGGAACCACTTTCACTAGTTGTTTAATATGTTCTCTTGGAAAAACTGTTTGTTCTGAAAGATATATTGGTCTTTTTAGAAACATGTCTGGTGTTGGCTAAGTTGTTTATTGCGCTAAACTCTCTTAGAAGCAAGTGGTTCACGTCCTCTGAAGACCCAGCGAAGGAAGTGGAAAAGCCTAAAGAGGGATGAAAGACAGACTCTCTGCTTCCCCCAGAGAAAACTGCCTGGAAAATCTCTGATTGGACAAGTTTAGAATCCTGTAGGTTTATACAACAAATGCAGATACACACACCATTGACGAATTTCCTCCCTTTCTGCTTTGGTCAAGAAAAGGAAAAGTTTGAGAAATGGGCATTGCAGAAGAGGGACTATTTGTACCCAAACCTTTTACAGACGTCTTTTGGCTGAAAGAGAGAGAACTGACAGGTGACCTACATCACAGCCTGCAGTACAAGAGAAGCTGCGAAATCGGGGAGGGGGGCCTTTAATTCTAAGGGAAACCTCAGTGCTTTCAAGGAACTTGATACCAGTTAAGGAGTTCCAAAAAGACCCTAGAGTCTCTCTCTCTGAAGTCATGTGAGACTCGAAGCTCCCTCCCCACCCTCCTGCACCCCACGGCTATACGTAACACTTTCTATTCTTTCTAACCTACACAGCCTTACACAGAGGCCAGCTACACAGGGATGCAAACCCACTAAAAAGTCCTCAAAACAGAGCTCCCATGAGCTTCCGCTCCATGCCAAATACCCAGACCCACTCCGACTGGGAGGGAGACTTGGCGTGGCCTGGCCAAGGAGAGGCTGGCTGGGCATCTAGGCCCGGTAACTCCCCCATTTCCTTAGAATTCTCCCATGGCTCCCGGGGGACGGGCCCAGTGGAATGGGAAATACTGCATCTAACTAAAGGGTCTCAGACGGCACCAGCTCCAGGATTTTCTACTCAGTAAATGTTCTGCATCCTGGCAAAGTGGAAGAGCTTGTCTCAATGCCTTGCCCCAAAGTAAATGTCTTCATAGTCCCTCTGTGCCTGCGTGCTTAAAGATGATTGTGGCCACACCTAACCCTGCATGGACGCCCCACCCCTTGCTGCCTCTGGCTCTCAGAAAATGTTCCCCCAGCAGGTGTCTGCCTAGATCAACCCCATACTAGCTGAGAAGGAAACAGGCCCTCAGAGACTAAGGCACTGCGCTTACCCAGAACACCCAGCAAGGCAGAGCCAAAAGGAGATTCTAAAAGATCCCCAGGCCCCAGCTCCACGGCTTTTCATCTTCCAGGCTATTAGGCAGAAAAAGCTCAAGAATACATCTTGATTAATCCCAAACCAAGCACGGTGACGGGAAATCTTCTGCCCTTAAAATTTAGACAAGTTCCACACTCAGTATTTGGGGACGATTGGGTATTAGGGGTTCTCTCTACTTTGTCTTTCTCCCTGAAGACACATGAAGAGATCTGGTTTTCTCATGCTGTGTGAGCTCCGTTAAGGAATTCATCACCTGGGCTCTCTCCTGCCACTTCTGTCAGGTAGCAGACAAGCCACGCAGGTGGCAGAGAGAGGCCCTCTGAACGTCACAGATCCCTGCATTGCCCCTAAAATATAATAATAATAGTAAGACTCCAAAATAGCTAAACATCACCCATCTGCCAGTGTATAGTACTATAGTGGCTTGCGTGTTGCTGTGATGCTGGAAGCTATGCCACCAGTATTTCAAACACCGACAGGGCCACCCATGGTAGACAGGTTTCGGTAGAACTTCCAGACTAAAACAGACTAGGGAAAAAGGACTACTTCCAAAAATCAGTCACTGAAAACCTATGGATCACAATAGAATATTGTCCAATACAGTGCTGAAAGACGTGCCTCCTCTAGGTTGGAAAGCATTCAAAACACACACTGGCCCCAACAATGGCCAAGAGCATACCAACGATGGAGCAGAGCTGGCTAACGTTTCATTTTGTTGTACTTGGGGTTGCCAGGAGTTGAAACCAACTCCTCTGGCAACTGACAATGACAACAACAAAAACAAAATAGCTAAACATCACTAATTTAAAGTAACTGAGGGAAAGGGTAGTTTTTACGATCATTGGCAAAGTAGCACTCATAGCCTATCTGAAAAGAAAGTGATGTTTCTTTAAAGAGCATACAATAAGAGAAGTTAACTGCTAATATGTATACGTTTTATTCAACTGGCCTTTATCTGGCTGGCCTGTAAATGGATGTTTCTAAAGTGCCTGAAAACTGTCCCGAGTAGGCCCAACAATTCCTGCTTAATCTCGTTTACATTTCACATCTACTTAATAGACCTGATCACATAATACACAGATGTCTCTACACACTGGTAAATTTGAGCTTAATCCAGTTTTACTTGGGGCTAATTCTGAATCCATGGGCTCTGAATGAATATGGCTTTGCTGTATCCATCAATGTGAGCTCTCATTTTATTGAGCAATTCTATTCTTAGCTCTACTAGGGGGAGGCAGACAGAAAGCCCCATTCTCCTCCATTCCATTCCCCTCCCAGGACGGTATTTAACATGCTGCTCCTGCCAGCTGGCAGGCAGCCACGCCGATGGCCCTGTCAACACTGGCCGTGGAGAATAAGAAACTCAACCATAAAAGGCTAGAACTACAGTCTGTGCAGTGGTGGGGGAAGGGAGTGTATGGCACCAGAGCAGGGGCAAGGGCACCGGCTACAGAAAAGCAGCTCAGAGGGGTTGACCCCCAAGTCACCCAAGCAGGGCAGGTGTGAGTGACCACGAAGGGAAACTGGACACCAATGTTTGCTGACAGGATGGAGCGTGGGGTCAAAACCTTCAGGTATGCGTCTACACGTACAGGCAAGCTGGTCACTAGCATCATTCCCTTAAGCCCCACTAATGCCCTAACTCCTTGGGGAAATTACTGAAATAGACACCTGGAGTCACCAAAGAAAGAATGAGTATGAAAAGGAAAAGGACCCCTCTTCTCTCTTATAGATGAGAAAACTATCTCCCCACACCGGTCTTCCCAGATTTAAAACTCCTAATCCAAGGAAACAAAAGAAAGGGGGTCAGAGGAAGACAGAGAGGTCAGAGGGGAAATGGGTCAGAGTGACAGACACTGAGAAATACTGAAACAGACCACGGGTGAAGGAACAAAGGCCGTGGACAGGAGTGGAGGGAGAGAGAAGGCGAGAAGTATGTGCGAGGAATGGACACAGGAGCTCAATCCTATTCAACTCCCTCTCCAGTTCCCGTGCCCAGGGACAGTCCTGGGGTGGGGGGTGGGGGGAGTTGCAGCACTTCCTGTCCAGGGAATCAGGTCGTGGCCGGGAATCCAAAGTCTGTTTTGGCAGCTGGCTTCTGTGTGTCTCACTGGCCTCCTCACTCGTCTTCGCAACTCTGCTTCACTTTGTCCTTTGTTCTCACATCTTCCCTGTTCCTCATCTGGGTGAGACAAGGACTCCCTCTTCTCCAACTGCTTAGGGGCTGGAAGGAGATGCTGCAGGGCTTGCTGAGGCTAGGTGTGAGACAAATGAGGACATCAACTATGCCCTCACCTGGGGACATCTCCCCAAAGACCTGCATGTCACCCTCAAGATGAATTTTCCAGCCAGAGAGTTCCTACACCTTTTGGAACATTCTGCACCCCCTCCTCCATGACTGGCATCTGGAGGACTGGCGTTTGAGAGCTTGTTCTCACTTGGCCCCTGGTGCACTGTTACTTGGCTTATACTGGACCTTGGTTTCCCCTTTGTAAGGCTGAAACAGTCAGTCCTGTCCATCCTAGTCCTAAGCTGAGGATAGGAGATGAAGGTGGAGGAGGAAAGATGAAGATGAAGGTGAGGAGCAAAGGGGAACTGGAGAATGTCAGGGCTACAAGGGACCTTAATAGTCACCTTCTCCAACTTTCAACTTCATGCCTAAACAACCCTGTAAGGGAGATTCCAGGGGAAGATTTCTAACCATCGTAGCCACATGAGTCCCTGTTACTTACAGCACCAGGAACATACACAGGAATGTCTAGCAAGGCAGGGAGCAGACAGCAGGACCTCTACACACAGGTGAGTGGTTTGTGCATTGCAAAAAGGGGTTGGCTGAGGGATGTAGACCAAACTCTGCTCTCCAAGGCTAGGTTGAGAGGCCTGGTGTGATACTGGGGGTGTAGCCTTTTCTAACCACTCTGCCCAGAGGAGCCTTGTGTCATGGATTGAACTGTGTCCCCAAAAAATATCTGTCAACTTGGCTGGGTCATGATTCCCAGTATTGTATGATTGTGTACCATTTTGTAATCTGATGTGATTTCCTTATGTGTTGTAAACTCTATCACTATGATGTAATAAGATGGATTAGCGGCAGTTATATTGATGAGGTCTACAAGATTAGATAGTGTCTTAAGCCAATCTCTTTTGAGATATAAAAGAGAGAAGCGAGCAGAGACACATGGGAACCTCACACCACCAAGAAAGTAGTGCTGGGAGCAGAGCACGTCCTTTGGACCTGAGGTTCCTGAGCAGAGAAGCTCCCAGACCAAGGGAAGGTTGATGACATGGACCTTCCTCCAGAGCCGACAGAGAAAGCGTTCCCCTAGAGCTGATGCCCTGAAATTGGACTTGTAGCTACTGGACTGTGAGAGAATAAACTTCTCTTTGTTAAAGCCATCCACTTGTGTTATTTCTGACTAAGACACCCCATTTCCCAATTTTCACAAAGCTCTCTACAAGCTTAAAGCCAAGGGCAAGTGTAAAAATCACTCAGATCTCATGCACATGCCAATAAACACAAGGCCAAAGGCTCTCATGAGCGTATGTTTGCAGGCCCACAGATGCGCGAGGACATGGCTGACTAACCAGTTGCCCCTTCCTTCATCTGCTCACTTCTTTGCTATGCTGAGAACTCGCTACACAGGGATCAACTAGAACCAGGCATGACAGAGAGCAGAGGAGAACAGTTAGGAAGCTGTTGTGATATTTCAAGACAGAGCTGACCCCCCACTGCTGTCGAGTTGATTATGACTCATGACGACCCCATGTGGAACAGAATAGAATTACTCCATGGGGTTTTCCTGGCTATTATCTTTATGGAAGCAGATCACTGAGTCTGTCCTCTGTGGTGGCACTGGGTGGGTTCCAACAGCCTACTTTTAGCAGTCGAGTGCAGTTTGCACCATCCAGAAGCCTGAGAGCTGACCAGGGCATGAAGAACACAGTGATCTGGAGGGAGAGGAAGAAAGTGAACTTGAGAGTCAGCTGGAAGACAGACTCAATAACGGGATGCATGAGATAAGGAAAAGGGAGTGGGGGACTATGAGGTCATGGTGACCTCAGAGGAATAATGGAGCGTGGCAGAGCATGCAGGGAGCTGAAGTGCCTGGAAGGTGAAGAGGCAGAATCAGAGACTACCCTCTTTCAGAGAGTTTGGCTGTAAAGAGAAAGAAAAGGGTATGGTAGGCTGGCTAGAGCAAGACAAAATACTGCAGGGGTTATACACGAGGGTGTTTCTGGCTAAGACTGGAAAGCCCTGGCAATATATGGACTGCAGGGAGGAGCCAGTGGAGGAGGAGAGGTTGAAGAGAAGAAAGAAGAGGGGGAGATGAATCTCAAGAACCTGGGATCGAGAGCACAAGAGCAACCTCAGGCTGGAGAAAGACTGGGTCATATTCAGAGCGTGGAGGATGAAGTCAGACTGGGATCCATATAGAGACCTTCATGGGGCAAGACGTTGAGCAAGTTCATGCCTGATGCGTCATATTTCTCAGAGAAACTAGAGGCCTAGGACTGCAGGCTGGGGGAACTTGAGGAACAGCTGCCACTGAGAATGGGCAAGGGCACTGACCAGGGACAAGGAAGAGGATTCCTGACCAGCTGAGATGTCTCAGTTGAGCCTGGAGGTCACCAGAGTCTAGCAATGAGTCTGCAGGTTGACGCGATCTTCTTCCCGAAGTGCCCAAAATCAGGAACGGGAGCAGTGAAGTCGCAAGGTAGCACTGCTTCAAGATGAGGCTTTACAAGGGGGGTGAGACAGTGGGGGAGGCAGTGGACAAGAGGGAGAGTGAGCTGCAGGTGGCGGCCAGAGAGGGCCTGAGGTAGAGAAGCTCAGGGTCTCCAACAGGTAGAAAGGAGAGAAGCCAGGAGGGGATTCATAAGCAGAGGAAAATGCTGGAGGTGGGGGCCTTGAGGGTGTCTGGGATCAGGAGTTCTAGATGAGAATGAAGGACTGGGCAGTGTGAAAGTGAGGGGTAGAGGAAGCTGGGAGAACAGGAGGCCATGGACAGAGAGTACAGGGTTTCCAAGAAGGAGGAGGATGCCGGTGAAGAAGTGTTGGGATGCAGGCATCCTGCCTGGGGACTGCTCTCTTCCCCATCCCCAGCCTCCATGCCACCCTGCTACAGACTCACCCACCACCGTGAGGTTGACCTGGGCCTGCCTGCTGCCCAGCTTGTTCTCCACCAGCAGTGTGTAGCAGCCGCAGTGTTCCTGGTGCGCGGCCAGGATGGTGAGCTTGCTGCCGCTCTCGCTGCTTTCCACCTTGATGTGCTCGCTCTCCTGGATCTGGGGGCAGAGGGTGGGGTAGGCACTGGAGATTTGGGTCAGGAAAGGAATGGGGGCTCCTGCATCCCCCATTCCATAAGGGATGCAGCTGCACAAGCTGTGTGGGGGCTTAGTCTTGCTTTAACTCTGAGCTTCCCCCAGGGTCCCTCCTCTCCAGCATCCAGAACCAAGTCTCCCTTAGGGTATCCAGATCCAAGCAGGCCTGGAGGGTGCTGAGCAGGGTCAGGGTGTATGAACCAAGTCAGCACTCAGTGCTCCTAGGACATAGTTCAGGAGTGTCCCAGTCTTCCTCCAATGCTCTAAGATGGGACTATAGGAGAACATATCTGGGCAAAAAAACCCCACTGCCATCAAGTGGATTCTGACTCATAGCAACTCTACAGAACAGAGTAGAACTGCCCCATAGGGTTTCCAAGGAGCGGCTGGTAGATTCAAACTGCCGACCTTTTGGTTAGCAGCTGAGCTCTTAACCGCTGTGCCACCAGGGCTCCCATCTGAGCAAAGTCACCTACAAAATCTACCCCAGTAGGTTCTGACTTCCTCTGTGCTGTCCAATACCGTAGCCACTAGACACATACGACTATTCAAATTTTAATTAATTAGGTGGAAACAACCCAAATGCTCATCAACTGATGAATGGACAAACCAACTGTGGTATATCCAGACAATGAAATATTATTTGGCCATAAAAAAGAATAAAATACCGATACACGCTACAGCATGGATGAATCTTGAAAACATCATGCTAAGTGAAAGAAGCCAGACACCAAAGGTCACACACTATACAATTCCACTGATATGAAATGTCCAGAATAGGCAAATTCATAGAGACAGAAAGCAGATTAGTAATTGATTGCCATGGTCTCGGGGGAGGGAGAAAATGAGAAACGTTCTGGAATTAGATAGTGTTGATGGTTATACAACCTTGTGAATATACAAAAAACCACTGAAATGTATACTTTAAAAGGGTGAATTTTATGGTATGTGAATGAAATCTCAATCAAGCTGTTATAAAATTAGAAATTCAGTTCCTCAGTTGCACTAGCCACATGTCAAGGGCGCAACAGCCACATGTGACCAGTGGCTACCACACTGGATGGCACAGAAGCAGACTATTTCCATCACTGCAGAGAGTTCTGTCGGACAGAGCTGGGACTTAGCCAAATGTCTCTGCAAAGGGAGGAGGTTCTACCTTACTTCAGACAACAACAACCCAGACATAGCTCAGGGCAAACATGTTTGGAATGCCAAAGGCCAGCCTTTGAGACCAACTCTCTTTTCCTTCCTGGTACTAGCCTCCCAACTCTGGGCCTCAGGACATTTTGAATGGTTTGGAGACAGAGCAACAGAGGGCTCAGAAGTGATCTTCACACCTTCTGTAGAGTTCCTGATCCAATGCCAGCCCCACCATTCCAGGGCCTCTGCTGATCATGCACATAGGCACGCACTACCAATAAGAGCTCCACAGAATGGCCAGGCTCCCCATGTTCCTTTAAAAGCTGGTTGCTTGGGAATTCAAACATTTTCTGTTAGAAATATCATTATAAATGGTGGTTAGATTTCTAGGCCAATACTGCAAAATTCTATTTAACATACATTTATCTATTCAAATAGATTCACTTTCATTCCTTCAGCACGTGGTAAGTTTCAGCGATCACGGATGGTATTCAGTGGGCTGGCATAGAATCATAGAAAGCTCACAGAGTTTGAGAGGTCATCTTAGGTCACTTGGTTCGATTTTCCTGACTCTGAGTAGGATTCCAGTGTGGGATATCAAAATCAGATGGGAGCCACGGATGGTTTCTACTTTCTCCTTCACATTTTTCTCTTTTATGCCAATTGTCTATAAAGCAGGTTTAATTTGTAGATTTAGAGTAAAAGGTTATTAAGAAATCAGATTTGGTGGGTGGATGACAGGTGGTTGAGGGGTCTCTCCCATTTCTAAGGCCCCTGTGATGAAGAATGATTCAGGCTTAGCTATCTCTCTCCAATACAGCACTCCTCTTCCCTCTCGGCCTGTGTGGCTTGTTCTCAGGTCACCCTCTTTAGTTACTGACCTTCTTTCGAAACTTCATCCAGGTATAGGTGATGGGCTGGGTGCCTGTCACTTTGCCAAACAGCTCCACAGGCTCTCCAGCGCGTACCTTTTGGTCCTCTGGAAACTGGATGATCTGAGGGGGCATAGCTGAGAGAGAACAAGTCAGAAAGTGAGGGAGAGAAGGGAGGCTCGGGCATTCTCATCTCATTTGACGCCGCTGTCCATGTTGGTCTGGTGGCTCCTCTCTTGCCTTCCAGAACCTTCTGGGTAAGACTGAGGGTAGTGACCACCGCTCCAGAACATTTGAGCTCATAAACCCACTAGGTTTTTTCATTCATCCCTTTATTCTGACTCCCTCAGAAGCAACCACACAACTTACAATGCATCATTCTCTGTTTATTGGTTGTTCTGGCATTTGCGTCTTACCCTAATTTTCTGAGTCTATGTCCTAACGCTCTATTAACTAAGCACAGACTTGTCTTCTAACCTCCAGGTTACGCCAGCTAAAAGGCTCAATATGGTTCACATCCTCACATGTCTTCCAGTGGAAAACAGACAGGGGCTCCATAAGAAAAACAAAAACAAAATAGCTGTTATTGAGTCGATTCTGACTCACAGAGACCCCATGTGTTCAGAGTAGAACTGTGCTCCATAGGGTTTTCAGTGGCTGATTCTTTGGAAGCAGATCACCAGGCCTTTCTTCCAAGATGCCTCTGGGTGGACTTCAACTTCCAACTCTTTGGTTAGCAACTGAGCGTGTTAACTGAGCTGAGCTGTTTGTACCACCCAGGGACGTAAAGAACAGCACTCAGATGGCACAAAGTAGATCGTACACATAAGGGGCAGAGTGGAGGAGTGAAAGTTGGGTAGAATTTTGGAGAAGGGATGAGAAAGCAGCTAGTTCTGTGTGATGCTCTCCCCATAGGGGGGAAATAGAAGGAAAGGGAGATCCTGGAAGAGGATGGGGATCAGGCTGTGCAGAGGCTCACAGGGAGAGCAGGCAAATCTGGCCTGAACAATGCAGAGCTGAATCAGAGAGGAGGTGGCAGACCACCGGGAGCACACACCCAGGTGACCAGTCTGGCAGGGCAAAGGAAAAATTCCTCATGGCACGCGACTCCTTCCCCCGGATGTTGCTGTGACCAATTACCTGCCTTCGGAGGCGTCTTGGGGGCAGGTTTCTTTTTCACAGTTGCGTCACCTGAAACCAAGAAGTTCACAAGTTATGTTCTGTTCTGTGTTTTCCACAAAGCTGCTAAATCCTAGAAAGATATAGTCTTGCCCACTGGGGAGAGCCCTCATTCTAATATCTTTCTGGAAATTTCCTTGCATTCTCTGGTAGACAACTTTGAAATCAAATATTGGTTCTCCAGGAGACCTCGTGGAGACGGGGGTGGGGGGGGGCGGCGGGGGGCGGTCCCTGGAGCCTCTAACAAGATAGACTCTCAAAAATGCTTAAACTCACTAACTATTCTTTCACCCTAATTTTCCGGAAACTCAGAAAGGAAATTATGTCAGATAAACCAACTAAAATTAGCCTTTGATGTGGATCCAGGGGTCTTAGCCTTCCTTCGCAGACTGCAGACTGGCTGCTTTCATTTTTTAACCCTTTCATGCCGGGTGGTACATACAGCGACCATGAACTTTTTCAGCCTCTGGGGTTTATTGGGAAGCTGCTGTACCACTCCACTGACAGTGCATGCTGCCACAAGGAAGGGGTCTTTATGACTGTCTGAAACCAAAGAAACGGGCGTGTGCTGCAAACTGCTGTTTTTACAGGGTACTGTATGAGGTATCTGACTTTTTGGTCTGAAAAACAGAAATTTTGAAAATTTTTATTTGTTACACACATATACCAACAGACTCTGGTGGGGACGCTGGGGTATAATTAGTGGTACTTCATATGTACCACTAAACACTTAGGGCAGGCTTGTGGGAGAGGGCAAGAAAAAAAGTCCATACTACCTACCACAAATTCAGACACTCAATGATTCAGCATGCTTCCATTAATGACAACACATGGTATCAACACAAATTCAAAGCAGAAAATAACTGGATCACCAAAGGGTTAATGTTCGTTGAATGGATGAATGAATGAATGAACCGATCAATCAACCAATGGTCTCCTCTCTCTCTACCCCCACTTTCTCCAAATAACTTAAAAGAGGAAAATGACACAAACAGACCCATTTTGCAGCACAAACCTGTTCATCTGGTTAAACAATATGGCGAATATGCAAAAATATCCTCAGCTAACTTCACGGCTTGTTTTCTCACTTCTTTCAGGACTTTGCTCAAAACTCATCTAACCTATTTATCCAGGTGAAATGAAAACCTACGTTCACATGAACACCTGCACGCAAATGTTTATAGTGGCTTTCTCTGGAATTGCCCAAAACTGGAAGTTACTCAAATGTCCCTCAACTGGTAAATGGATGGACAAACCGGGGTGTATCCGTACAATGGAATCCTACTCAGCTACAAAGAGGAACCAGCTACCGATACACACAACAACGAGGATCAATTGCAAATGCATTAAGCTAAGAGGAGCCAGACCCAAAAGGCTATATACTGTCTAATTCCATTTATGTGACATTCTGGAAAAGGCAAAACTATAGGGACAGAGAACAGATTAGTGGCTGCCAGACTTGGGATGGGGGCAGGGTTGACTACCAAGGGGCGTGGGGAAATGTTTCCAGGTGATGGAACCAATCTTGACTGCCGTGGTAGTTACTCGACTGCGTGTCTTTGCCAAGACTTCCAGAACTGTGCACTAAAAAGGGTGAATTGTACTGTAGATAAATTATACCTTACTACAAAAATAGGAAACAATGTCACCTAACCAATGAGATTTTCCCTACCACTCTATATCAAATAGCAACTCTCTGCTCCCAACACCCTCTATCATCCTTATCCCACTTCACTGTTTTCCCATGGAGCTTATCACCATATGACAAACTATATATTTACTTGTTGATTTACTGTCTGCCCCTTCCCACCAATAAAATGTAAGTTTTGAGGGCAGGGACATTTTGTGTTCAGTACTGTATCCCCAGTGTGCTGACCCTGTAGAGGTATGCAGTAACTATTTGTTGAACGAATGAGTGGGCTTAGTATGAATGCAATTATTCATCCACCTATCTTCATCTCGCAGACTGCAGAGAAGCAGAACTATATCTGGCTTAGACACGGAGCTGCTCTGTGACCACAGGCAAGTTAGATAACTTTTTTATGATCAGCTGTGCATCTGTAAAATGGAAAGAATACTGCTACCAACTTGAATGTCCTGAAAGGACTGTTGCAAGGAGGCGATCCCTGATGGAAGCACTCTGAGACCACAGAGCTGACTATTACCAGTTATGTGTTTAAGCCCAAGGTGAGTCCTGTTTCCACCAAGTTCACCCTGGCCTGCGTCATTACTGATCCATCCATCCATCTTGCAAAAATGCATTGAGGGTCTATTACGTGCCAGGCAAATGCCAATCAGCACATAAAACTAAACTGGGTACTGAAGGGAAAACTACACAAATAGGAGAACTCAGGGCTTGTCCTCTTGGGCTTCCATGTCAAGATGTGTGGTCTAGAAGAGAATTTGTTTTTTTTAATCTTTTGCCATAAAGGACATTTACGGGACAACCAGCAAAACTCAAATAAGCTCTACAGATTAGATGATAGTATTGTACCAATATTAATTTCCTGATTTTGATCATCAAATTGGTTTTACAAGAGATTGTCCTTGTTCTTAGAAAATACACACTGAAGGATTTAGGACGTCATGTCTACAATTTATTTTCAACTGCTCATAAAAAATCATATATAATTTTTTTTACATATATATTTATGACGATAAAAAATATGTATGTGTGTGTATTTATATGTGTGGGGGTGGGGAGAGGGAGAGGGAAAGGAAGAGAGGAAGAAAAACACAAAGAACAAGGGAGGAAGGGAGAGAGAAAATATACGATAAAGCAAACCTGGTAAAATGTTAATATTTGAGGAAGCTGGGTGAAGGTATACAGAATTATTTGTACTATTTTTGTAACTTTTTTATAAGTCTAAAATGGTTTAAAAATAAAAATCAAATTAAATAAAAGAAAACTTAAATTTTTTTTTTTAAAAATATGTGTTATCTAGCTAACACTATGTGGTTATTCAAGGGAAGGAGCAAGAGAGAATACTGTGGGTTGAGGAAATGGTTAGGAAAGGCTAAGAGGTGGGACATAGGATGGACCTTAAGACTAGAAAAGATCTGGACTGGACTGGAAAAGGGAGAAGAGCCCCATAGGTCAGGAACAAACAGTAACTCAGAGTTGAGAATCAGGGTAAGGTGTGGTGGAGATGAAGTTGCCCGGAGCACAGGGCTGGTATTAGAGAACAGTGGAATAAAGAAAGTGTGACTATTTAAATTAAAAAAAAAAAAAAAAAATTCAGTTCTGTAGTCACACTAGCCATATTTCAAGCACTCAATAGGCACATGAAGTTAGTGGCTACCACATTGGACGGTGCAGATACAGAATATTGCCATCACAGAAAGTTCTATTGAACAGCGTTGGTCTAGAATGTCAAGTTCGAGAGTTTGGCATTTGTTCTGAGGGAATAGGGAGTTCCCATACAGTCAGCAGCCAGGCTGAGCTAGAGGACCCCATAGGTCTTTCCAATTCTTGGGGGACAGGGAAACTATTAGGAGGCTATCACCATAATCTTGGAAGGCACTGATCAATGCCCTGCCTTGGTAAAGGCAGTAGAAAGGGAGACACAAATGAAAGACAAGAGGAAAAGTTAAAAGGATTTAGAAGGCCAAGCAAGAGGTAGGTACAAAGAATACTTTGAGATTTCTTGCTTAGATAAATGGGGAGAATTTTATTGATGGAATATGGCATTTGGGAGTGAAAGATGAGAAGCTTGGTGTGGTCATGTGAACTTGGTAGATGAGAGAATTTACTGTATATGTAGACTAGAAGCCCAGGATTGGAATTCTGGAGAGAGGTTGGTGGGGACTAGAAATGAAAGATTTGAGAATCAAACATGGAATTATAGTGGAAACTGTGAGGATGGGTCAATTCTTTGGGGAAAAGAATGCAACTGAAGATGGGAAGCGTTCAAGGTCCGATCCCAGGCAGTGCCCACAGTGAGGAGCTGGGATGAAGGACAGGGGCTGTGAGAGGACCCTGAGAGGTTCGAGGAGGACTGTCACTACAACCAGGGGTGGAGGAGAATGGGCATTGAGAGGTGGGTACAACCAGTATTGAGTGATAGGTGAGGTTTGAGAGGGCAGGTCCAGTGGAATGGTGTAGTCAGAAGTCACTCCAGAAAAGACACTTAAGGAAATAGGTGGGGAGTCAACTAAGTAGTCAAGAATTCTGGCAGTGACCTTTCAGCCAAAGATTAGACAGGCCTATAAAATAACACATGCAGTTCAACCAAGTATATGAGACTACACGGGCACACCAGTCCAGGGGCAAGGACAAGAAGGCAGGAGGAGACAGGAAAGCCAGACAAACGGAAATGGGGAACCCAAGGAGAGTGTTGACATGTTGGGAGGTTGGCAACCAATGTCACAAAGCAATATGTGTATTAATTGTTTAATGAGAAACTCATTTGCTCTGTAAACTTTCACCTAAAGCACACACACACACACACACACACACACACACACACATGCAAAAGAATTCTGGAGGTGAAAACAAAGAGAAACAGGGTGGTATAAGAGGAAATGTCAAGCTAAGATTTCTTCCAAGAAGGAAGAGAAGAGTACAGGTTTGAAAGCAGAAGGTCAGGACTTAGTGGCGAGGAAGAACCTGAAGATCCTAGTGGAGAAGATAATCAAGGGAAAGCCACCTTCCTTGGGAGTAGAGATAGGATGGGATATGCGACCGGCTGAGCCATGATGTCCCTGCCCTTCTTCTTCTAGGACTATTAGGATGAGAGAAGATACTTTACAGAGGGAAGTCCTCAAGGGAAGAAGAAAGGCTTCTTCCAGAGCCAGGATCTGGTCTCATCTGGAGAGCAAAGGCCGTCTGTTCAGAGGAGCTGTGTGGAGGGCTTAGGATGGGCTCAGGGGAGTGCGAAGGGCTTAGGATGGGCTCTGGGATGGTGAGCGAGGAGTCAATAATGAGGCAGAAAGCTGCTCAGCATGAAATCAGATGAATCCAAAGTCCTATCCTATAGTTGGAGGCCCCAAGTGAACCTGTGTGGCTAGAA